ACCAAAGATCTAGTTGTAACACCAGCTAAGCTAAAAATCCTTGATAAACTCACTAACAAACCAAATCCACCAACTCAAAATGTTATGGCAAAACGGCTGAAGACCAGTCAAAAGAAAGTCAGTTATACCATCAATAAATAATACACTGAAGGCGAAGGTCAAGACGTAAAAGTTTATCGATTAAGTGGAAGGAATATTGAAATATCAAAAGTAGGAGCAATTCATCACTATAAATAAAGCTTCGTTTTATACACGGTTTTCGACTCATTCGCAGAGGCCAAAAGAAGCCTTTTGGAAAGAAGTAAAACCGCTCCAAAGGATTTACGGTATTACCGGGTGTCTTTTATAATATTAAAACTCGTCTTCATTTTGAGAAAATATTTTGCCCGCCGTCTGTACCCAAATTCTAAGTTTGTTGTTGTTCCATTAACTCACTTCTGTCCATGATATGATTCTGAGAAATCCAATGGAGATAAAATTCAAATATGTGTATTCCTAATAAAAATTGGATACCGATGCTGTAGAATTGTGAACTGGCACCGAGGAACATTGCTGTTTAAGGATTGATCAAAAGGAAACTCTATATGTGTAGAATTAAAAATACGACAGGATTGAGAAGATCTATAGAAATTGTATGAAGAAATACTTCGATACCTAAGCGCGTATTATAATGCCTATAAGTATAAATGAAGATGTATTTTTGTAAATTTTTATATCTATTAATAAAGTTATATTTATTTAAAAACACCCCATCATTGGTTTACTTACTAAACCTGTGTGAGTAGTTATGATAGATAATTCCCTAATAATTTAGGGAATGGTTTCTGTAGAAATGACTTCCTAGTAAAGCGGTGATTTCCACAAGTAGGTCGAGGTGAAAAATATTTAGAAGGTCGCAGAAAAATTAATTACAGTTGACAATTCTATTAATAAAATGGTTCATATTAACATTTCAATCAAAAGGTCATTAAAATGCTCTGTAATTTCATGCAGTATGTTCGTAAAGTCGCTTTATAAAATGGATTATTGTGCAAAATGATGGATTATCGCTAAATGCCTTTTTGTTTATTGATTTTTTCTCTCTCTGTTACAGGACCGTTTCGGCAGTTATAAGCACCGAAAGTGACAACTGTCGATCAACAGGATCAAAGAAGGAGAAGAAAGCATTAGCCGCGTCGAGGTTTACGATCTATAAAGTCAACAAGGCAAGCCGTAAAAAACGGGAAAAGTCGACGGCGAAAAAAGAAAGAAAAGCCACCAAAACATTAGCGATAGTATTAGGTAAGCGAAACTTGCACACACATATGCTTACTTATACGAGGTCTATTCAAAAAGCATCGCGAATTTTCAATTTCCGCGGGTCAGGTATATTCGATTTTCGTTTTTTTTGTAGCATTATGTCGCTACTTATGCCTCTCACTTATACCTACAAATTCGGCTATGTTGAATGCTCAATTAATTTTTGACAGCTGCTGCTTTGCTTGCACGTGTTTTGTTCGTCTTCAATTTTAGCTTATTCCAAAAAATGGATCAAAGAATCTGTATCAAATTTTGTATGAAAAACAAAATTAAGGACGCGGACGCATTCCGACTGTTAACTGTGGCATATGGTGAAGCTACCTTGGACCGAAGTAACGTTTATCGGTGATACAAAATGTTCTCAGAGGGCCGAGAAGATGTTAACGACGAAGAGCGTGTCGGACGCCCGAGCACGTCAACAACAGACGAAAACATTGATGAAATGAAGAAAATAGTATTGGCCAATCGTCGAATNCTTCATTTCTAACCTTCTCTATCCACGGTATCCTCATCATGCGCCTATAACACCACATTTCGAACGCTTCTAACCTTTTCTTTTCCGCCGCACCCACCGTCTATGTTTCGCACCCGTACAGCGCCGCGCTCCAAACATACAGCTTTAACAACCTTATTCGAATTTCTAAATTAAATGATAATGATGACTATAATAATTTACCAGAAGCTCAGAATTATCCTTTACAGCTCCCCTTTGTTTCTTTCCAGGAGTATTTCTGTTCTGCTGGGTACCATTCTTCACATGCAACATAATGGACGCAATGTGCAGCAAACTACAACTGACATGTCAGCCAGGGGTAGCGGCATTCCTGCTAACGACATGGTTAGGTTACATTAATAGTTTTGTTAATCCTGTTATTTATACTATTTTTAATCCGGAATTTAGGAAAGCGTTCAAAAAAATCATGCAGATGAGTCCCTGAGAATAGGCCAAAAGATTTGTTGTAAATGTCTTTATTTTTGGGAAACCATTTCAATCGAACAGTAAAGAGCATCATAAAACAAAAGTAAAAGGTTGCACTAGGTATATGTGATGATAAGAAAACTTTTTCTTTTCGGAAATATTCAGTCACAAAAAGTTTTTATTTTCCTTAAGAAAATGTTTTCTTCGTACTTCTTTTAATCCAATAATAATACTTATCATCGTATAAATACATACTTAATTTTTTTTTTGGGAATAGTTTTAATTCTAATTTAATTGTCAAAATTTTCAATTTTTAGCCTATTCTGTAATCGATATAAAAAGTGCAATTTGTTTTGTTGAAGTGTATATTCAACATCAATTAGTATTTTAGCTCAGTAATTATCTGTATTTCAAGTAAGTTTTGAAGTTTCTTTTTTAATTTTTAGGAATAAATAACGGAAAAAATTATTTGAAAACTTTTTTTAACTATGTATTATACATATATTTAATACTTTTTTATATGCATACTGAGTATCTAAAATTTGCTGATTTTGTCTGTTGTAACTGGTCAATAAAATACAGTTTTTATCGTTATCGTTTATAACTCGAACATTTTGTCAGTTCAGCTGTATATTAATTTTAAAAATTTTTGATTTTCAAAGAAAAGGTTTTATCAACAGAAGTTTCTACAATATTTTAAATTTAACTTAACGTTATTCTTGAACCTAAATAACGAAACCTATTTACTTTCGCTGCCATTCAAATCCGTATCTGTATAGCAAGAGTATTAGATTGCACGCTCTGATATCCAACTTTTCCACACCATTACCCCCCAAGTTCATGAAAACAATGACATTGCCACCCGTACGCTATTGCCCTTGAAAGTTCTTCATATATTTGATGTAGAGAAGAAAAAAGAGGCGCCGATAACAATGAATTTAACTTGGATCAGAAACATTCACAAATCACTTTACAACCGCATTGCAGGTAAACAAATAAATCGGTACATATAATTATATTGTCGTGGCAGTTTCCCGAAGTTTTGCCAAGAAAGCATACAAATTTGCATATCGAGTAAACCGAATAACAGTTCTGTCCTAGAATAATTGACAATGATACTACATTTACGTTAGATTAAAATCTAAGTGACTTTTTGTTTTAAGTGCACAATAAAATACTTTACAAAATCAAAACCAAGATAGGGGTAAAGAAGAATTTATTTAATAAACCAACATTAATTGAATTTCTTATATCTACTTATGAATACAGACTGACCAATATGTCAATGCACATCCCAAATCTCTGGGTCTAGAGACTTAAAATTTTGCACGGAAATTCTCTATATAATGTAGACAAACACTAATAAAAAATTTTTTTAAAATTCAACCCCTAAGGTGGTGTAAATAGGCTTCAAAG